TCTTGGCCAAAGTGAAGTTTCTTCTTAGTAAATTGCATCTTGTTAGATTCAGTCCAGTGTTCTAGCCTGTCCAGGCTTTTTTGGATCTAGATTCATTCAATGTGTTAGCTCTCCCTTCTAGTATGGTGACTTCTATAGATTGAGTAAGCACACCATCTATGCCTTTTATCCAAAATTTTGATAAAAATTTTAAACATAATAGAGCCAAGTACAGACCCCTAGGCCACTACTCTAGAAATATCTTTCAGTGTTGACTTTGAACCTTAATGACTACTTTTTAACTTTGTCATTCAGCCATTTTGAAATCCATTTAGGTGTACTATTGTCTTGCCCACATCTCCATATCTTTTCCCTAAAACGTAAAACTCTGTACTAAAATCTAGCTATGCCATATTTACGTAAAGTCTCCCTTTGATTTTTGCCAGTTTGATATAACCTTTTCAAAAAGAAAATAAGATTAGTCTGTCATAACCTGTTCTAAATAAATCTGACATGGCCTTTTGTGATCGTCATTTCCTTTTCCCATGCTCACTGTCTTTTAATAATGTGCTCAAGACAACAAAAGAAAAAAGCAATTTTGAATACATAAAATTCAAAAGCTTTTGCACAAATACAATCGATGTAGCTAGGATAAAAAGGAAAAAGCATGAACTGAGAAAAACATTGACATCAGATATCTTTAATAAGGACTGACATCCGAGATGTTAGAGAATTAACACAAATATGTAAGACCAGTAGATATTCCCCAACAGATAAGTGGTTAAAAATATGAATAAAAGATTCTCCCAGGAATTGGAAACTATTAACCATAAGAAAAATTGCTCCAAATCACTTATAGTACAAGAAATGCAAATCACAACAATTTTGAAGTTCTACTTCATATTCAACTAATCAGAAACGATTTTAAAGAATAAAAATATGGGGCAACTAGGTGGCGCAGTAGATAGAACACCGGCCCTGAAGTCAGGAGGACCTGAGTTCAAATCCAGCCTCAGACCAAACACTTGACACTAGCTGTGTGGCCCAGGGCAAGTCACTCAACCCCAATTGCCTAAATAAATAAATAAATAAATAAATAAGTGAGTGTGTGTGTGTGTGTGTGTAATTGAAGAGTTTGTAGGGGGAAAAAAGGCATACTAACACATTGTTGGTAGAGTTGTGGATTAGTTTAACCGTTCTGGAAAGCATTTTATAATAATACTTCAAAAGTGACTAACATGTCCATATCCTTTGACTCATAAATACCTCTTCTAAGCATATGCTCCTGAGCAGAAAAAAAAGGAAAAGTTTTATGCCCTAAAATATTCATACTGTCTTTTGGTTTTGGGGGGTTTTTTTGGTAATAAAGAACTAGAAACAAAGTAGATGATTGCTAATTGGAGAATGGCTACAAAAATTATGGTACGATTATAATGTTCCCTTAAAAATTATGAATAATAGGAATTCAGAGAATTATGGGAGAACTTACATGAACTGATGTAAGTTAAATAAACAGAATCAGGAAAGTAATATATCAATAACTGATGTGAATGGGGAAAAAAAAACAACCTGAAACTAAATACTATATAATTATAATGAAGAAAGCTTGGCCCTAGAGAAGAGTTGAAGAAATGTATCTTACTCCCTTTTTCTGCAGAGATTATGGGACCATGTGCAGTATTGTAGATAAGCTTGATGTATTTGGTGAATTTTTTTAGCTCCCCACTTTCTTTTAAGTGGTGACTCTTCTGGTAGGAGGAGGAAGGCAAAGAGTATGTTTAGAAATGAAGACAATGTAAGAACAAGTTATCAGTAAAAATAAGATTTTTTTCTTTTAAATGTTATTTTATTTTGTGTCAAGGCACTTTTAACATTCATTTTTTAAATAAAATGTTGAGTTCTAAATTTTCTCCCTTCCTCCTCCCTAAAATGGTAAACAAATTTGATGTAGGTTATATATGTGTAATCATGTAAAACATAAAATAAGATTTTTTTAAGAGGACATCCATTCTAGATTTGGGGGGGGGGGGAGTTGAGGCAGTTGGGGTTAAGTGACTTGCCCAGGGTCACACAGCTAGTAAATGTCAAGTGTCTGGTCTGAGGTCAAATTTGAACTCAGGTCCTCCTGACTCCAGGCCCGGTGCTTATCTGCTGCACCACCTAGCTGACCCTTCCATTCTAGATTTTTACCAAAAACCCAGGTCAAGTATCCTGGCTTTCGTAAACTCTGTTCTCTTCATTAAAAAAAAAAAAAATCTGATCATTCTTCTCTAGACCTGTAGAAACTTTCATTCTCCAAGATTTTTAGAAAATGGTTGATAATAGTTTAGCATTATCATCCAGTAGTTTATCTGGGCCAGATGACCACATATTTCTCCTGTTTAGTTATTTGTATTCTGTTCTTTCCATTACAGAAGGCGTTCTTTGTTGCATAAAAGAGAAGGAAAGTTTCACTGCTTTCACAGTTGCTCATTGTTACACTATTGCTGTTACTGTATACAGTGTTCTCCTTGTTCTGCTCGTTTCACTTTGCATCAGTTCATTTAAGTCTTTCCAGGTTTTTCCTGCTTGTTCATTTTTTATAACACAGTAATATTGCATCACAATCATTTAGCACAACTTCTTTAGCCATTCCCCAATTGATGGGCATCTCCCCAGTTTCCAATTCTTTGCCACCACAAAAAGAGCAGCCAACACACTGTTGGTGGAGTGGCCCTATAAATATTTTTGTACACATAAGTCCTTCTTCCCCCTCCCTTTTTTTTTTTTATCTCATTGGGATATAGACCTAGAAGTGGTATTTCTGGGTCAAAGGGTATGCACAGTTTTATAGAAGGTATAGTTCCAAATTGTTCTTCAGAATGGTTGAACTAGTTCACAACTCCACCAACAGTGTACATTACTGTCTCAGTTTTTCCGCATCCCCTCCAGTGTTTGTCATTTTCCTTTTTTGTCATTTCGCCAATCTGATAGGTAATGAAGTGGTATCTCAGAGTTGTTTTAATGAGCATTTTTCTAATTATGAGTGATCCAGAGCCTTTTTTCATGTGATTATTGATAGCTTTGATTTCTTTCTTCTGCCTGTTCATATCCTTTGACCATTTATCAAAAATGGTGCCGTTCAAAAAGATATCTTCTTTGCAAACATAAAATTCTACAAGATTCCTTGATAAATATAAGAACAAAGATAATTTCAGTAATCATCTGATTACTATTATCAAGTAAAATATTCTAACATCTAACTTAGTAAGTTTGCCCCACTGTTAAGGATGCAGATTTGGGCTTGATACTTAAAAAAACAAAAGAAAACCTCCTGCCAACAATTAGAGCTCTGTAAAAGTGGAATAGATGTTTCAAGAAAAGTAGGTTCCTCCTCACTTGACATCTTCAGCTAGGTAGCTTCTCTTCGTGTATCTTGAGTCTTATTCAGAAGTGGTTTGAACTAGGTGGTCTTTGAGGTCCCTCCTAATCTGAGAGTCTGTGTTTTGTGGTTTAAAGGGATAATAGTAAAAGATGTGAGGAATAGTGTAAGGTGATTGACTCCAAGAAGACCTGATGCTTCCCACTCTACCTTAGTGTGCAGACATCTGAAAATCCCTTAGAGATGGGAGATAGATATCATAAGAGATATTGACTCAATTACATTTTGGCTCTCTGAAGCAATGAGGAATATTTATCTTCTACTCTTTAACTTTCAAAGAGCTCATTTGGAGTTCTCACATTAGGCAGGGAGTAAGAACTCGATATACTATGCTTACTTTATTCTATTCCCTGTAACAGATATTTATGGCACCTCAAAGGGAAACTTTCCCTACCTTACGCACTCCTTTCCTCCCTCCTTCTTACCGCCCCCCCATTTCCTTAGCATATTAGGTAGATTCAGGTACTGGTTCACAGAACATATGATTGTGTTATTACTTTGAAGTAACATATAACAGGAAGTAGCCAAAGCTAGTGGCGCCAGACCTTTCATCTTACCATAGACGTATTAATGAATAATTTGCATATTTCTTTGGGAAGCTGAAACTTAGGATCTGCCTTTTCCTTTGATACTAATTATTTCTGTACACCCTTAACCAAGCTACTCCTGGTCTTAAAAGAGCTTTTAAAATCAGTAAAGCTACTTCATTTAAGACTAACTGATCCCATGTTTTCCCATTTTTAAAAAATATACTATATAGTTAACCCACATTTACATTCTCATCAGTTCTTTTGTTCCCATTACAAGTATTCATTCAGGAGCTACAGCATGTGATACTACTATAGGATTGCCAGGTTTTACTTTGGAGAATACCAGGGCATATTCTAATTAGGCATGAGGAAGCAGGAAGAAGAGACTGAATACTGACAAAATGAGACTCAAATACTGGACTGTTTTGCATTCCAACCCAATTGAAATGGGGACGAGACACTGAAATACAAGCCAACTCTGTACACTCAGGCCATCTTGCAGCCCTTCTATGCAAGTGTAGGCTTCATGATTGCATATAGACCCCGAAGAGCCATAATTTATACTGCTGTGCTAGCTTAAAATATGTATATCTCATCTTTTAAGAGAACATTCTTTATTCTTTTTTTTCCCCAAATTTTGGAGGCAATAGGAGTTAAGTGACTTGCCCAGGGTCACACAGCTAGCTAGTCGGAAGCCGTATTTGAACTCAGGTCCTCCTGACTCCAGGGCCAGTGCTCTGTCCACTGTGCCACCTAGCTGTGCCAAGAACATTCTTTATTGTCGTAAAATCATCTTTACCCAACCCAATGTTATCTGTAAGGTGGAATATCATCTGTCTGTCTGTTTATCTGTCTATCTGTCTTTTATAATTCAGATTCAGAGCTTCCCTTGGCACATACAAATGGTTTCCTCCCACACTTATGTAGTCATAATTGTGCCATGATGTATCCATAATTATCATGACTGAAGCTGTCATTTAAAAAACAAAATGAACCACATATTCTAGAAGTTAATAGACATTTAAAACTTATTTTGATGAACTGCTAAATATGCATCCTTTCTTTTTCAGGAGAAGACTTTGCAGTTGTACAGCAAGAAATTATTATGATGAAAGACTGTAAACACCCAAATATTGTTGCTTATTTTGGCAGCTATCTCAGGTATAGTATTTGCTTTCCAATTTTTAAAAAATGCAGTATCAGGTGAAGAGTAAAGAATGAATGTATCAGTGTAGGATTGTGACAAAATAAACTATATAATTCATTATTTTTTTTTTTTAGCATATCTGCTTTTTTACTTCTCCTACACAGAAAGCCATTCTTTTTAAAAAAACAAAACTTTATAACAAAGGATGGCTTTGGCAGAGTAAAGGGAAGGAAACAAATTTAGGTAATGTAAAAATAATATATCAATACAAATAATTTTTTAAAAAAAGAAATGCTCAGAAAATTAAAGCAAGACCAGATAACAGAAGATGAAAATAAGTACCTGACAGAGTCCTGCAAAAATAGTCAGGATTGTGAAAGCCCAGAATGAGCTTATACTAACTAAAAGAAACAGAGTTGGGGGTTTTTTGTTTGTTTGTGAAGCTTTTTTGGGGGGGAAAAATAGGATCAGTCTTCCTACTAAAACACACCCAGGAACTAAGTGAATGCAACTAAAAAACATTCTTTACAGAAATAAATACAGACTTAAATAATTGATGAGATATTGTTGGGGGGGCAGGGCAAAGTGAGCCATTATAATGGCAATGACAGTGCCTAAACTGACTTAGTTATTCAGTGAAATATTGGTTGGTCTGCCAAAGAGTTTTTTTTTTTTAAAGTCATATGGAGAAACAAAAGAACAACTATTTCAAGAAAAATAATGATATAAGTGGGAAATCCTTATCAATAACAGTTCTCAAAATTAATCATTGAAATGTGTGGTACTATTTAAGAACTTAATTGATCAGAGGAGTAGATTAGGTACATAGAGTGTACAGTAGCAAACTAACACAGTTGCATAATATTTTTTAAACCCAACGACCCCACTTACTAGGCTCCTAATCCACTATTTGACAAAAATTTCTGTGAAACCTAGAAAGCAATCTGGCAAAAACTAAGTTGAGACCAGCATGTACCCATATATACTCACATCATATACCAAGTTAAGCTCTCAATAAAAACATCCTTTAAACATTAAGATTGAAGTTTTTATACAAATAAAACTAATGCAGCTAAAATTGAAAATAACTAACTGGGAAAAATCTTTCAAGTAAAGTTTTCTGATAAAAGTCTCATTTCCATTAAAATCACTCCGAGGTTTTCTCTCACAATCATCAGATTGATTGACAGGATGTCAAAAGAGGAAAGTCAAAATATTAAAGAGGCTACAGGAAATTAAATGTGCTAATGTACGATTGATGCAGTTGTGAATCAGTCTAACCATCCTGGAAGCAGTTTGAAATATGTCACAAATGTCACTGAACTATCTATACCTTTCACTTAATGATACCACTATTAGACCTATAGCCTAAAGAGATCAAAGAAAGAGGAAAAGGGACTCTCGTGCAAAAATATTTATAGAAGTTCTTTTTGTAGTAGCAGAAAACTAGAGAGTTGCCATGAACTGGGAAATGACTGAACAATATTGTGATACAGGATGTTATGGGATACTAATGTATCATAAATGGTGAAAGGGGGCAGCAATATTAGAAATAACTTGAAAGTCTTGTGTGAATTGATGGAGTGAGCAGAAGAAGTGGAGCATATCCAGTAACAACTGTAAAAATAAATAACTTTGAAAGCTCTGAGAACTTTGATCAACTCAATGACCAGACATAATTCCAGAAGACCAATAATGAAGCTACCCACCTCCTGACAGGAAGTCATGGACTAATATGCAGAATGAGGCTTTTTTTTTCAATATAGCCAAAGTGGGTATGTGTTTTGCTTGACTATGCATATTTACAACAAATGTTTTGTTCTTTTAATTTCTTCCCCGGGGAAGGACATAAATGGGAGGTAGAGAAAACCAATTTTTGTTAACTGAAAAACATTTTAAAAGAAATAAAGTAGGATCAAGGAAGGGATAAGGCCTTTGCCTTTGGATGCTACTATAACAACTGACAACACGATGAAGGCCGAACCACTCAGTTCTGATTTTGTTGCTCCCTTTCTCTGCCAAAATGAATTATACTTTATACTAGAAAGGACAAAGCAAAAATGACTAAGGAAGTAATGAAAAGTAAGGCATTTTGCTGTCCTTCAAGGAGTCAATCCAACTAGCCCAGATAAACTGCATCCTTTAGTTCTCAAAAAGATTGCAGGTGTGATTCATTACTGAGCCAGATCAAATCATAGAAAATGGGAGAGGTACCACAAGATTAGAAAAGGACAAATGTTTGGCCTTTGCTTGGTATTCAGAGCCCTTCATAAGGTAGGAGGATTATGAGGGCCAAATTGACAAGACTTGGGAACAGATTGGATATGGCCAATAAAAATGATGCCTAACTTCAGTGCCTTAGTGTCCATGAGGTTGGTGGTACCTCAGCAGTATTAGAGAAGTTCCAAAGTAAAGAGCCTGTGAGGAGAAAAAATAGTGGGTTCCGTTTTGAAAATGCTGAGTTTGGTCTCTGTGGAACATCCATTGTTATTAAGATGTCTGATAAACAGTTGGAGATTCAGAAGTGGTTAGGGCTAGATAAGTAGATCTGAGAATCATCATTCAGTGAGTACAAGAAAATGGAAGGAGTGACAAAAGAAAAGGGTTAAGATGGAAGAAAGTGTGGTTGTTGCTTGTAATACTATTGCATTTTGCTTTGTTAAATTTCATCTGGAGTTTTGTATTTTGTTCTTTGTGACTTCGCTTAAGAAGGACATCAGTAAGCTGGTGAATGTCTAGAGGAGGGTAACCAGGGTAGTGAAAGGCCTTGGATTCTTTTAAATGAGAATCAATTGGAGCTAGTCCTGTTTAGCCTGAGAAAGTGAAGTCTCTGGAGGAATATAATAGCTGGCTTCAAATATTTGAAGGGTTGTCACATGAAGAGAGATAATTAGACTTGTTTTGCTTGACTTCCAAAAGAAGGAGGAGCACTAGGGGGAAATTGACAATTCAGACTCAGAATGTCAGGAAAAACTTCCCATCATTTAGAGTTACCTGAAAAAGCAATTGCCTGCCTGGAGAGGATATGGGTTTCCCTTCTTTGGAAGCTGGACAGCAGTTGTCAGATATGTTATGGTGGGGTTCCTTTTGTGTTTAAGTTGGACTAGGTGACCTCCAAAGTCCTTTTCAACTCTCAAATGCCATAATCTTTGAAATTGATCTGCAGATTTAGTGCTATATCAGTTAAAGTACCAGGGGGTTATTAATGTATCTGTAGAAGCAAAAGATCAAGAATGAATCTCAAGGGAAATGTTTTAAAAAATAGAAAAGTTAATCATTGGACAACCTAGGTAAAGCCAGAAGCAGTTGATTATAGTATAGTATTCAGAAACTCAAGGACGCCAACTGTTGGGGTAAGAATTCTGTTTAACAAAAACTTCTCAGAAATTTGAAAACAGTATGGCAGAAATTAGGTTTAGTCAAGTTCTTACACCATGTGCCTTGCTAAGGTACAAGTGGATCTACATATAAAAGGTCACATTCTTATTTAATGGAAGAGAGTGTAAGAGATGATGTTTCACTACTGTAGCTCTTTACTAAATAAGAGAGGCACTGATGATTATAATAAGCAAAATGGATAGTGTCAATATCTGTCTAATTGGCAAAGACAACAAAAGAAGAAAATAGCAAATATTAGAGTAGCTTAGGAGGATAAGTCATTAATGCATTGTTGGTGGAGCTTCTAATGATTCCAAGCATGCTACATAATGATTTTAAATTGAACACCCCAAACTCACTAAACAGCATATTCTTTTTGACCTCATCTATACCTGTACTAGGTATATACCCCAAAGAGTTCAAAGACTTCTACAGGGAAAGGACCTATATGTACAAAAAGATTTATATCAGCTCTTTTTGTGGTAGCAAAGAATAGGAAACAAAGTGTGTGGCTATTAGGTGAGAAATGCCTAAAGAAGTTATGATATAGGAATGTAATGTGACGTTTGTTCTCTCTAAGAAGTGGAGGGGGTGTGGAAAAATTGGGACAAATTCATTGTTGGTGAAATTGTGAACTGATCCATCCATTTTGGAGAGCAATCTGGAATTATGCCCAAAGAATTATTAAACTGCCTATACCTTTTGACCTAGCAATGCCATTTCTAGGTCTGTTTCTACAAATGATTAGGGAAAAAGGAAAAGAACCTATATGTTCTTTTTTTTTCTTTTTGGTGAGGCAGTTGGGATTAATTGACTTGCCCAGGGTCACACAGCTAGTAAATGTCAAGTGTCTGAGGCCATATTTGAACTCAAGTCTTCCTGACTCCAAGGCCAGAACTCTATCCATTGTGCCACCTAGCTGCCCCAGAACCTATACATGTATATATGTATGCATGTATACATATATGTGTGTGTGTATATATATATATACACATACATACAAGTATGTAAGTATATATACATATATATTTTAAGAACCTATATATTCTAAATAGTTATAGCAACTCTCTTTGTGGAGAAATTTCAGGGATGCCCATCAATTGGGGGATGGTTGAATAAGTTGTGGTGTATGATTGTGATGGAATACTGCTCTGCTATAAGAAATGATAAGCTCTAGGGGCAGCAAGGTGGCGCAGTAGATAGAGCACCGGCCCTGGAGTCAGGAGGACCTGAGTTCAGATCCGGCCTCAGACACTTAACACTTACTAGCTGTGTGACCTTGGGCAAGTCACTTAACCCCATTACCTAGCCCCACCCCCCCCAAAAATGATAAGCTCAGTGATCTTAGAAAAACATGGAAAGATTTGCATGAAATAATGAAGAGCAAAATGAGCAGAACCAAGAAAATACTGCATACAGGAATAGCAATATCGTTTTAAGAATGACTTTGAACAAATAAGTCATTTTGGCTATTATAAATACCCAAATTAATAATAAAGGACATATGAAAAAAGATACTATCTGCATCCAGAGAAAGAACTGATAAATAGATGTATGTATAGAATACAAACACACACACACACACCCCTATCTGTTTGTGTTTAATGTTTGCCATCCCTAGGGTGGGGTGGGAGAGGTAAGAAAAAAGGGAAAAAAAGAAATTACATGATTATTATATTTAAAAGGAGTAGCAAGTTGTACATAATAAATTTGTAGTTTCATGGGTACTCATCTTTTATTATACTGTGTTACCGAAATGGTTGTTTTATTCCATAAATTGAAAATAAGATAAATTTTTAAGTGGCAAATATGAAGAATTCAGAGAGACTTGGGGAAGATGTGGGAACTAAAATAGAGTAAAATAACTATAAGGACAATTTTTATGATGATCCACAGTGACGTAAAGGAAAACAACATTGTTAGACTTCAGAGGCTCAGATCAACACAGTGACTGCTGATAATGAAATTTACATTCTGTCTGTTTGCTGATGAATGAATCAGAGATATGGAAGGAGGAGGAATATATTTTAGACATGGCCAATGTATTGATTTGTTTTATTTCACTATATTTATTTTTACAAGAGGCCTCTGTTTTGTGTGTATGTAACATGGGGGTGACATATAAGAGAAAATCAATAAAACAAAAACAGGGGAATTTTAGGAAACAGAAATAAATTGCACATAACAAATTCACTCTTTTCATTTGTAGTTCTCATTTTTGTTCTTTGTTTTGAACATTTGTGTTTTTTGTTTGCTACTCGTATTTGTTAATGTTAAAAATGAGGAAAAGTTAATTGATATTACCTAGAGGTGATGGCTACAGAGCAAAGTAATGTGTCATGTATTGGAAAAAGTTGTAGTCTAGAAATCAGCAAACTATCTACTAATAACTTAGTAGGGCATTGGTTTCCTGAAATATAGACTTAGGGATTCTAGCATAGTACTCTATGGAACCTTCTAGACCTTTTTGATGACCTTATTCAAAAAAGGATATGTGTGCTACAATTCTTGAGTAAATCTTTGCTAGTAAATTTCCTATTATACTCTTGCCCTGACTTTAGATAGGAATGGAATTGAGCTTAGAAATTTTGCTTAGAGGCAACCAAATAATAGTAAAAAATTTAAACAGCACTGTTTGAGAGACATTTTGAGAGTTGCTGGATTATAATTATTATTTTAGTTTAAGTGCTACCAGATGAAGCCTTTTTTTTTCCTTTTCTGTCTTCTTACTTGATGGGTTTGCTCCCAGAGATGGCAGACTTTTTCATCACCATTATTTATATCATCCTTACAATGATGGTCACTCCAGTATTTTAAAGATCTGTAATATTGTTGATTAGTATGCTCCTTCCATGGATAAAGATTACAGATTACCTTCTAAAGATGCAGTGGGCCCAAACTACAACCTTAGAGTGATGCTTTTGCAGAAATATTTATTTTAGAATCTTAAAAGACTTGTCATGTTTTGAAAATAATTATTTACTGTCAGATAAATGGGCAAGTAGAGTGTCTGTATTTAAACTTTAAATAATGTAAGGGGGATCTCCATTTTCTTAGAGAAGCTAATGACAGCTTATCATAATTACTCCAAATGTTTCTTACTAAATAAGTATTAAGTCAAAGGTAGCACATTAGGGTGATCATAGAAGGCAAGAAAATATTTTGATTTGGCTTTTTATATCTAAAATATTTCGGCTTTTTTTTCTTTTAAAAATTTGTTTGACCATAGTAAAATTTTTTTCTTGTTTGAGTTGAAGATACATTCTTACGAGTAAGTCCTTAGCTCCTAGAGAGTAAATGAAATTTTAATAGAGATTGCATTTTTATTGTTATGTGATTGACATATGTTACCTTACATATATAAATGTAACTGAGAAAATTATAAATGCATCCTTTATATTGATAGGCGAGATAAACTATGGATTTGCATGGAGTTTTGTGGAGGTGGTTCTTTGCAGGACATATATCATGGTAAGTCAACATTTATATTTTTATAAAAGGTGAATAGACTTTTATTCCTAGTGTCATTGCAGTGAAAGTAATTTGGAATGAGGAAGTTGTATTGTGTTACTCCCATAGGTTAACATTTAAACATATGTGAGCAGTTTGTAGATGAACAATATAGATCCTTTGTGGAGGGCACAGCAGATCCAAAGCACCAGATTGTCACATCACATTGTACTGCAGAGAGTCTGTACAGGTGACGGGACTCTGAGAGTTTATCCTGGTAGTACAGTATAATAGGAAGAGCACCAAGACTCAGAAAACCCAAGTTTCAATCCTAGCGCCATCACTTACTAGATAACCTTTGGCAAACTATTTCACCTCCCTGTATCTGTTTCCTCATCTGTACAATGTGAATAATTATGCTCATATTATTGAACTGTACAGGGCTGTCATAAAGAAATAACTTTGTACTTTGTAAAATATTATATAAATATAATCTCTCATCATCAGTAATTATTCCAAGAAGGGTAAGGTGGCTGTAGATAATGATTTATTTAGGAAACTGCCCAACTAGGCAGAAAACGGGGGTTTTCTTTCCACCTTTTTCTACTGTGATCTGCACCTAGATATCCTACTAGCATCTTCAACAAATCATGTCCAAAATGAAATTTACCATACTTCCCCTGAATATCTTCCCTTATTTCTTTTATTAGTAACTCTGTCCTCCTAGTCATTGGCTCAAAATCTCAGTGTCACCTTTGGTTCTTCTTCTCACGGACTTTCCCCCAAATGCATTATCAAGCTTTGCCCTTTTTATCTCAAAAGTACTTCTCATTTACACTGACATACTAGTCCAGGCCTTACCTTTCACCTTGGCTGTTAGAGTACCTTCGTTACCATTCTAGATCCCCCCCACCCCCAACACATACCTTGTCATTTTGTCTTCTTCCAAATAATCTACACTATTGCTTTGTTAATATTCTTAATGCATAAATATGATTGTCACTCTACTCAAAAATATTAAGGGACTCTTGCCAATAGAATGAAGTTCATTCGTACTCCTTGGCTTAGCATTCAAGGCCTTCCAACCTACTTTTTCAGTTTTATGTTATTATTTCACTTTAAATACTCTAAATTATAGTCAAATTCAAGTTGGCACTGATCTGTAAATGTGTCCCATACTGTCCTGTCCCTTTTGCTCACACTACATCTGTGTTGAACCTATTCTGCATGCATGCACAGACACGCATGCACGCGCACACACATACACACACACACACACACACACACTCACACTCTCTCACTCTCTCTCTCTCTCTCTCTCTCTCCCTCTCCCTCTCCATCATCTCTCCCTCTTGAAACCCTACTTGTCCTTTAAGACCCAACTCAGATATCATATGCTGTGGTTCAGGAAGTCTTCCCCAACTCCCTCAGATTGGAAGTGACTTATTCCTTGAATTTCTCATGCTACTTAGCACCTTTCATATATTTATTGTGTTTTGTTTTATATTACAGTTCTTTGTGTACTTGTCTTATTTTCTCTCCTAGGTTATAGTCTGAATGCATTTCTTATTTGCCTCTGTATCTTCCAAGCGTCTTGCACAATGATTGCACATAGTAGGCAGTACATGGGCATAGTAGCTTTTGAATTTATGCTGAAAATAAATGAAATAAGAAAATGACAAGATGAGTTTAGTACCATGTCACCAGATTATTCTTAGAAGGCTTTGTGGAGTTGTACAACTTAAGCTAGGCTTTGACAGATGGTTAATATTTGGAAAGACAGAGAGAGGAAAGGGCATATTGGGAACAGCATGTACAAAGAAGCAGGTTTGGGTAAATATGGCACATGTGAAAATGCCTGGCTGAGTCAGAGAGCTTATGAGAGGAACAGTGGGAAATAAAGGTGAGAGGAAGACAGGGATACTAGATAATCAAGGGCCTGAAGAACCGAATGAGAAGGTTTGCAAGAATCTGTATTACTGCTTTCTGTAAAATGTGCCCTTCAATAAATCTCTTGGCTTAATCTGCAGTCTTTATTAAAGTGTGTTTTGTAATATTTACCTGAGTATACCAGAATATTTAATTAGTGTCATTGCTGGTCCAAAATGTCAACAAATATTGAGGATTATTAACTCAGCATGAGCAAGTGTTAGACCAACAAAAACTGTCATATTAAAAATCCTGAGCATTTCCCTGTACCTGGTATTGACATTAAAGGGCCCATTTTCAAAGCTTCAAATCTGGGGGGTTCTAAATCCACAGGAATTAATATAAATCCTCTCCTACTCTGAATGGATTAAATGGAGTAGATAGTTTTCTTTCACTGGACTGAAATAATACTACAAGTAACCTTACTCAAAATTTTGTAATGTTTTGCAATGTAGTTGGATGTTGGATGGTTATTTATAGACCAGCTCTATCATTAGAAATTCATTCAGGTCAAGGAGTAATCTTCCTTATAGCTACCTCTCATTTGCTGTAGATGCTAAATTGATTAAAAACTCCAATTCCCCTCTTGTATACAACCCTCTATTCCATATTTAAAGAGGCAAACTGGAAAAAGAAAAAAAAACACCTTATCAGTAAACTGTAAAACTGGGAATCTTGAAAAGATAGGTGGCTGTTATGTATGCTTTCATTGTTTATGCATTGAAACTTGTAAGACTTTGACACTTTTTTCCCCCCATTTCAGTGACTGGACCTCTATCAGAACAGCAGATTGCATATGTTAGCAGAGAAACTCTACAGGTAGTTGAAATATTGATTTTAAAGAACTCTGTCTTTTTGTACAAAAATGAATAGAATCTGATTTATCTGACTATAGGTTGGGGTTTAGCAGCTTAGCAAAATAGTAGTTAAACGTTATACTTTGGTTTTTGACAGTACAGTTGGATGTGTCCTTTGTGAGGGAGAATCTGTTTTTCAAATAAAAATTTAAAAATTCAAATATAACTAGAACTGTGCTCTTTAGGTCCCTTCAGATAGCATTTCTGTTATTATACAATACTGTATTTACCCTACCCTTCTTTTGCATTCAAGTAAGAAATTTGACAGTTACCATAGTGAGAAATGATATATCAGTACAATGTGTTATGTTTCTAAACTACTTTCAGATTTCCTGACTTGGTTATTGTATCTCTGTCTGGAATGTGAATATTTATTAGTACTCTTGAGTTTTGAATTTATCATTTCTTTGGTTCTGCCTTTAAAGTAAATTCAGAGAAGTAAATTGTAGATTTTCCCTAAACTTTTAACATTATAAGTAAAGTATAATACTCTTATATTCTAAGTATATGATTTGCTTGCTGACATACATCTCTTTTTCTTTGAACCTTCAGGGATTATATTATCTACACAGTAAAGGAAAAATGCACAGAGATATAAAGGTATGTATGTTTGATTATAATTTTCTTTCAGTCCTCTGTTAAAATTTTTTTCCTCTTGGTAAAACTCTCGTTATGCAGAGTTGTCTTTAGTTTCCTGTTTTGTCATTGAAAATGAAATATTGTTGCTGCTAAAACTATTTTGTATGAGTGACATCAGGCACTTAAATAAACAATTAATGATGGTGCTGCAGTTGAGTTTACTTTCTTCTGGTTTGTAGTCTCTGAGTTAATTTTGTTTCATAGTCTCAAAGATTCTTATGTCCTTCTTAAAATTAGATCTTCCTAAAATTTTCCTATCTTTATGCTAAAGAAAGCTCTTAATATGCTAGTGAAGTAATGTTGATAAGGCATCAAAATGAGTAATTTGAGGACCCTCCAAATGACTATTTTCTAATGGCTTTCACTTGACCTGAGAAGTGACAAACTGTCCTTTAATCACCATGCCTTTGTGGTCTGCAGTCTGTGGTCTGACTCCTGTTCTGTGACTTCTCAGAGAATTTCTACTGGCATACTACCTCTTGACATGTCTTTTCCCCGTCTTTTCCCGTCTTTTGTGTTTTTTTTTCCTCTTACTATTTTCTTGGTTTCTTTTCCTTTTTCCTAAGCCTGACAGAGTGCCTGGTACATAGTAGGTGCTTAATAAACTATTTTGAGTTGAATGGGATTCTTAGGTCTGCATTGATACTAATGGGCCTTCAATTAGAAAGAATCCTGTTAGAGAACTGTCCTTTTTTGTTGTTTTTATTCTCTCCTCCTATCTCTTAACTCTTTTCTCTCCTCACTACTAACAGGTTTTATGTAAATCCCATAAAATAGCTGCCTATGCCTCATTAGCACTCATTAAAAAAATAAAAAATAGTATTCCTCATCCTCACTGAGCTCAGGACAAGTAGCCAGTGTTATAAAGGTACTAGAGAATCATGTCAACAGGGCTAGCAATGTGCACTTGTTGGTGCCTATGGCTTAATGTGTCTTCTAGCTAAGGCTTTGTCAAGTACACATTTTATTTGGGTTACTTTCCTAAGCAGGAAGGTGAGTTCATCGCAGCAGTGATTCAAGTTATGTTCTGTTAACATATTAGTGGAAGAATTTCATTAATAGAAAAATGACAGTATCCAAAGATTAATAAAGCACTTGAATATTAACATATGCTAATCAGTTTTATAAAGTGCTAAAGAAAGTAGAATCTCTCTAAAAGTAATGACACCACGTGGAAGGCAAATGGTAAATTTGGCTATAAACTTACTGATTAATAGATTAATGAATTCTATGTAATTGAAAATTTAAGAACTCAGATTTTTTTTGAGACTGTTAAATGTCGGCATTTTAAATATTTAAAAAAATTTTAACCATTAGTACATTTGTTAATAAAGTGAGTACAAGTTGCATAATTTTAACTAACATTTTCTCACTTTGAAGGGAGCAAATATTCTGTTAACAGATAATGGCCATGTAAAATTAGGTAAGTATTTTGAAATTTTGTGTATTTATAGATTTTATATCAATATATAATGGTTTTTTGTAAGAGTAGATTTTTTTTTTACAGGTAAGGCAGTATTTAATATTAGTCAAATTAGTAAAATCCCATTTTACCTAATAGTGATGCTATTTCTATGTCTCAGGTGACATTGTTTCGCTAATGCAATTACAATTATTTTCTACTGGGCAAATTCTTTAGTCCATATAACAGTCAGTAAAGAAAATATGTGGGGAGAGAAGGGTATTATTTAGACCTCTCTTGTGCTTTTACCAAGCTTCAAACAACTAATTTCACTTTCTACATCAAATATACTAATGTTTGATAAGAAAAAAAAGATGTTAAACTTCTATTCAAACTTAAGAATTTGAGAAAGGTAGTATAAATAAAAAATATATGTGATGATATAGTGAATGAATACTAAGATGTCTGGATTCTTTGGACAAAGGCAAATCAGCTTGAGCTCTCACTGCTTATTAGTCTTTCATATGTGGGTAGTATCACTCTACCTATCTTTCCAGATTGTTATGAGGATCCATTTAGGTATATGTGAAAATGCTTTGAAAAGTATAGAGTTCTTTATATATTTGTACATAAATACACAAGAAGTGCTAATATTGAGCCATCTTTAGAGCATGATGCCATAAGGCACATTAGTTTCTCAGCAGATAGGGTTTATTTCATAGAATTAGAGCTGAAAAGGACCCTACTAGCAATCCAAGTCCAGCCCTTCATTTTACAGATTAAGAAACTGAGGCACCAAAAGGTTAAGGGATTTGCCCACAGATGCAGTTAGTTACTGTCTGAGGAAGGATTTGTTAGGTCCACCTCTTCCAGGTCTTCCTGATTCACTACACCATGTTGCTGGATTATTAAATTCCCTTGTTTTCTTCCTCAACTCAGTGCACTTCATAACTTGCTCATTTATACCTGGGATCCTGGGATCTGTGATGCCTCATTTCTGACTTTGAGAATGTTGTTTCTAGCAACAAGAACTCCACTTTAGATTCCCCCCCAAAAAAAAAACACACATCAACTCAGCAACAGTGGATATTCCATGTGTTGAATGGGATTAAACCTATATAGGAATATTATTTATACATTGCTTGTGTTGACTTAGTTTAAAAATTCATCTAAGATGGTTATTACATGACTTTCATTTGCTCAGACTATAGTTGTATAAGGGAATTAACCTGAATACCACCATCTGATAAGGAATAATTTCTCAATATAATAACTGCATGATTTTAAAAAATATTAATAGTAAATCAGGTATCTTTATTACAGATAAGATATATATGTACTTACAAGTACAAAAAGGGCAAAGAAAATGATCAGACGATATTTAACTAACCCATCTTAATTGGTCTATAAAGATACTTATTGTGATTACTTAGTAATGAACACATTTTATTATTCTAATTTTTATGAGTAGTATGGTGATGATGGCAAAATGTTATGTGTAATTTTGGTTCAGCTCTAATCTATATAGAAATAATCCAGTAGTAATCTAGAACAAGATTATAATCTGAAAAATAAAATCGCATATAATGCCTGATAATAGTGACGGGTTATAATGTGAGATTTTTCTACTGTCCTTGGACATCTTATTTTATAAAATGGATCAACGTGTGTCCCAGGTGACTTATTTGGTTCTGCCTAAAGCTAGGAAGGAATGGGAAAAAGAGGTCTCTGTGTTTCCAGGATTCTTTGATCCTTTTATTTAGGAAATTTTAATTTCTACTAAAAATTCTCTAAAGAATTTTTTTCCATAACAGTCTAATGGAATAATATACTGCATAATAAATCTCCAACTTTGTTTTTCCTTATGTATGTAGAATTCCCTTTGATTTCAAATTGAAGTCAACCTCCATAGACATTTAATTCATATGAGATTAGATGACAGAATCTTCATTATGTGTAGATTTGATGTTCTGTAATATTTGCTTAAATAGCACAAACCATAAATAAGTTTAGCCTTTCTACTAAGTTTCTGTTTGTTTAATGAAAAAGTATGCTTTAAAATCCTTTTTTCTCTTTTTTTGCACTTAGACTTTAAAATTTTTCATTGTGAAAACAATTCCCTTTATTAACAATCTTCCTCCCCCCTTTTAAAATAGCTGATTTTGGAGTATCTGCACAGATAACAGCTACAATTGCCAAACGGAAGTCTTTCATTGGCACACCATATTGGTAATTTTGTTTTGATTGAATTTGAATATTAAAGTTATATTTGAGTTTGATTTACAGAACATTTTCTTGCTGGATCAGAAAAAAATAGACTGGATATACGGAATTTCTAGGAACAGATCAAAAAGATAGTTAAATCAAGGGAAAAAAGCAAATGTGACTTTTTTAAGCACATGAGACAGAAATACTGTGTTACTGATGTAAAGACAGAAATACTGCCTACAACTGACAAATGCAGGCATTAGAATTTTATTAATTTATAAGAAGGAACTATAGGAAAATGTTTCTGTCACTGGAAATATTCCAACAAAACTCCATAATGATAATTTCTCATCTGGCACTTCCTTTTCAATCCCATGTATATTACTAATTAACTCTGGGCCCCCATCACATCACACCTATGTGATGCAGTAATACAACTCGTCTCTCCAGCTCTACTTTTTCCCCACTATACCCATGATTGTAATCTTTCTTGTGAATGACATTGTCTTTTCATATAAATCCTAACTTCCTTAGCATGGCTTTAAAGAATTTGGTCCGCATTTGCCTTTCCAGCCTTTATCCTCCACTATTCTCATCTAAGAACTATCCTCTTTAACAAAAGTAGCCTGCTCATTATTCCCAGAATGCATTTCTTCCTCTGGGCCTTCCTTTAAAGACCTCTCTCCTTTTCCATTCCCTTTTGCCCTGCCTTATGTGTTCTGCTTAAGCCTCACCCTTTTTATAAGGCCCCTTTTATCAGGTCCCATCTTTGCCAGAAACCATTCCCAGTGTCATTACTCCTTCCTGACATCCTCTCTTCTCTAAGCTCTTGTAGGATTTAAAGTGTCTGTATGCCTCAGAGGGGCTAAGTGGGGCAATTGAAGCAACATTGAACTTGGGATCAAGAGAGACCCAAGGTCAAGTGTCCACTCAGACACTCACTAATTGTAGGATTATAGGCAACTGACTTCATCTGTTAAGCTCCTTTTGTCATCTGTAAGGTGATAACTGTAGTGCTGACTTCACAGGATTCTCGTAAAGGTCAAAGGAGTTATTGTTTGTAAAGGTACCATAGCTGTTGCCATAATCATTTGGCATTTATTACATTATCATTATGGAGGCAGAGAGGTGTGATAAATCCTTGTGTTCTCTCTCTAGTTAAATAATAAATTAAAGGCTTCTTTATTCTTGTGTCCATGTTCCCAAGGATAGTAATCCTGCAAAGACTAGCAGCACAGTAAATTCTGGTTGTGGATGATGCTGATTTCTTAGACTGATTTTATAAGACTGCTTGTCCAAGGTCCTCCTGGTTTCAGGAGTGTGTTAGTCCTAAAACACATAAAATGAATGCACTTGTTAAATTTAATTAATCATAGGATTTAGAATTCGAAGGGAGTTGAGAATTTTTAGTCCAAACTTTTATTCTTATCTGAACCTATTAAATTATAGTAAGATAGTTTGTTGTTTTTAATGTTCCTTCTTAAAACCTTTTTCTGTTGACAAAGGAGATATTTTTCTTTCACTAAACAGGAACATTTTTTAGCTTTTACAGTAATCCAGGTAGGCCAAATTAAAATTACAAAATTAATCTTTACTATAATTTAAATTAGGACAGCTAGGTGCCACAATGGATAGAGCACTGGGCTTGGAATCAGGAAGACTTAGGAAGACTCATCTTCCTGAGTTCAAATCCTGCCTCAGACACTTGCTAGCTTTGTGACCCTGGACAAGTCACTTAACCCTGTTTGCCTCAGTTTCTTCATCTGTAAAATGAGCTGGAGAAGGAAATGGCAAACTACTCCAGTATCTTTGCCTAGAAAACCCCTAGTGGGATCACGAAGAACCAGACACAGCTGAAACAACTGAAAAATAACTACATAGTTTAAATCACAGGCACATTCATACATCTGTATCAATTAATTGGGATAACTTCAGACAAATTTATAGATTAGTAGAAGTTTGTTTTTGTCAATCTTGGAAACTTTCACCTTTAGTTTCCTTCTTCTCCATATCAGGCATTACTGTTCTCTCAACCTTCCTCCCCTCTTGGCTACATTACGTCTGCCTTTTGGACAAGAATTTCTTTTCAAATTGTTAGTTGTTTGAGCTTTAAAATGTTTTCCCTTCCAGAATATTTGTATTTAGAATCTCTTAGTCTTTTAAAATAGTTTCAGGTGTTCTGTTCATATCCAAGTCAATCAATCAACAATCATCTGTTTAGCACCTACTCAGTACTTAAAGATCTTCTGGAAATACTAGAATCACATGCGTAATTAGTGCTTTTGCCAGCAGATTTTATTTGGGAGTTTTGGTCTCTCCAAAGTGAAAAGAGTGAATCTCTGATAGTGGACTTTCTGGCATCATACAAATAGTATGATATGGGATAACATCATACAAATAGGAAAGATGTGTTTAGGGAAGCATGATTTCTTAAGATCCTCAAAATTAAATTATTTAGGTGACTGTTGTAAGGCCACCCTATTTAAAATGCCACTTTGAAATGTAAAAGTTGGAGGAGCAATCTCATTTTTCGTTATAAAATTGGTGACTTTGAGCATTTTTGTTTTACATCTGTAAAGAACAGTACCTAAATATTTTATTTGATTGGATAAATTTTTTTGTATTCCATTTTCTTTTATTTTCAGTTGCAAATTTTCTCCTCCCCAACCTCCCTGTTAAGAAGAGAAGGAAAAAAAAAATTCTATAAACATATATAGTCATGCAAAACAAATTTGATAGAGCTATAATTAGAACAAAGTTGTATCAAATTTTAAAAGAACAAACTTATTCTAATTTAGGCAAGAAACCATGTAAAACTTGATGACAATTTAATTCCTCCAAATAATTTTTTAAAGAAGTTACATTTTTATAATTTTTTTGTAATCTTTTCAAAAATTTCTTATTCAGTACTAAGTAGAATGGTTAAGAAAAAATGAAATTTTTTGGCAGAATATCTTATGCAGGTTATCTTTATCCTGATTGTAAATCAGTGTTTATTTGACTGCCCACATGTTAACAATTCTAACAGTTATAATGAAAAATTTAGTCATTCAGCTGTGGGTCGTCCTGATGCCAAACAGCCAAAATGAGTGAATTTTTCTTTCAGCTGCCTTCGAGAGACCATGAATTGGCATCATTCAGATTGAGTGGTCTTCAGGGCTCAATCCAAGAGCTCCCATTGTCTAAGCCAGCCAGCTTAGACAGAGTCAAAGGAAAATACTAGAGCAGAGAAAAGCAAGTTTTAAAATATTTGGGACACCTCAGGGTATCTTGAATGTATAGAAATTAGATCTATTAAAGTATATCAAACTTAAGGGGGAAAAGATTTCCGAAGTTCTTAAGTGGGTTTTCATCTGTGGAGGAAAACATGAAGTAAACATTTACTGTAATACACTCCTCAGGATGGCTCCTGAAGTAGCTGCAGTTGAAAGGAAAGGTGGATACAACCAGCTGTGTGACCTGTGGGCAGTGGGGATAACTGCGATAGAGCTCGCAGAACTCCAGCCTCCCATGTTTGATTTGCATCCAATGAGGTTAGTCATGTTTCTTTTTTAAAAAAGAGAAGACATACATTTTTATATAAAATCAGGTGCTTAAATGAGAATTTTACAAAAGTATTTATAATCCACAGGTAATTTCTCTAATCTTGTTCTTCCTAAATTGTAAATAATCATAACTGAAAGTTTCATAGCAAATTCATTCAACAATGTGAAATTTATTAAAAATAATTAAAATCATTGGTTAATAATTTATTATTGATTTTTAGAGCATTGTTCTTAATGACAAAAAGCAACTTTCAGCCACCCAAGCTAAAGGACAAAATGAAGTGGTAAGTATTTTCTTGATACTCACTTAAGTGTTTAAGTGACTTAACTATAAATGCTCATAATGTTATTGTTTAATTTTTTAGGTCAAATAGCTTTCATCATTTTGTGAAAATGGCACTTACCAAAAATCCAAAAAAAAGGCCAACAGCTGAAAAGTTATTGCAGGTATTTTGTTTTCTGAATATTTCTGTGTTTAGGTAAAAAGTCACCCAGTTACCTTTTTAATATACTTTATTTCCTGTTTCCTTTATCCCCTAGCACCCTTTTGTCACACAACCTTTAACCCGATCTTTGGCTATTGAACTTTTGGACAAAGTGAATAATCCAGATCATACCACTTACCATGATTTTGATGATGATGATCCTGAGGTAAGACTGCTCTAGTCTACCCACTCAGTAATCATTCTCTCTTTCCACCTCACCTCTCCCTTTTGAGATTAAAAATTGTTGACATTTTAAAATGTTTTTTCATATCTGCAGCTCATAGCTATAATCAATTCTGATATTTGTTTATTGGTAGGTAATATTTTATATGCTTATTCAAAGTTAGGCTGGAATTATCAAAGAAATCTAGAAATAAAACAGCAAATAAAAAGATGGTATCAGTTGTAGGATTTAGTCTAAATAAATTACTCTTACAGAATGCTTGCTAACCCATCAATATTGCTTCCCTAGGAGGAAGCATGTTAAGAGTCAATGCAGAAAAGGTTAAAAAGGACTGTATATAGACTCAGAAGTCCTGGTTTCAAATCTTGGCTTTGCTACCATTACCTACTTTGGACAAGTCTCTTAACCTTAATGAACTTCAATTTCCTCAGCTATAAAATGAGACAATTAGACTTGTTTACTGGTGAGATTCCTTTGTAAGTCCATGATGATCCTGTAGAATAGTCATTTTTTCATAACGTAATGATTTACATGAAGGAAGCAAATTAGAAATCCTCTCTTTAAAAAAAGGGGCCAAATAACATGTGCCCCTGCCAGATTAGAAAATAGATTTTACCCTTTTCCTTTGCAGAGAGTCCCACCCTCTCATTTTCAACCTACTTCTTAGTAAAGCACTTTGGAAGCTTCATTCTTTTGGCTGGGAGGAGCAGTAACTAAAACTCATTGCTCAGGATAGAACTCCAGAAGATCCTTGATGGGTTTGTGCAGAATACGCTTGACCCATTTGGTCCTTTGTTGGAGAACAAATTCAGAAATTAAGGGAAGTTTCACAGCTAACACTGTCAGTTACAGTGACACTGAAAATAAGCCCCTGCTCCCTGTCATGATCCACGTCGAAGTAGTTGTCAGCTGCACTAGTCAGTACAGCCATGCCATAGCTATCTGTTTTAAACGGCAGTAAACTAAAGAAAGTCAGTCGCTTCATTGGCCTTGTTAGAGGAAATTCAGTTTTTGATAATGAAAGGTGCACAGCTAGACCTATCCAGTTCTCCAGAGTGCTTCTTATGGGCAGATGAGCTATTTGCACATATTCCTTGTATGGACTGTCTAGAGTCTAGAGGAAAAAAGTGTTCTGTTTAGAGTTTGAGGACCTGGGATCCAGTGCTGGCTTGGATGCTCACCACCAGAACTGTGTTTTGTATATATAAGGTATATATAGAGACTTCTCCAGAGAAATGTACTAAATAATCTTTCAGTGGGATCTTTCGTTTTTACTATTTTTTCTTCTCTTGACTAATTTTAAGGTCTATTTTTAACATAGAGAAATAAATTGAATTTAGCCAATTTCTATGATGTAAGAAACATACTTAAACTTCCTCAGCTAGGGTAGAAATTGTTTTGTGTTCTTATGAATCTAGAATTTTAATTGTAAACTTCTGCAGATGATAGCTGTGAGATAATGCCTGTAAGAACCAGAATGTGCCTGAAGGAAAATAGCTTTCTTTATCACACCTTGAGAAGCTAGGTGGTGTAGTGCATCTAGTACTGAGCCTCATTCAAGCTATTTATTTTATGGCGTGTTCCTGCTTAAATTTATATTCTGTCTTCTGTAAAATTTTACAAGTAAGTTTCTATTCTAAAACAGAAATTTCCTGGGGCAGCTAGGTGGTGCAGTGGATAGAGCACCAGCCCTGGAGTCAGGAGGACTTGAGTTCAAATGTGGCCTCAGACACGTAACACTCACTAGCTATGTGACCCTAGGCAAGTCACTTAATCCCAACTGCCTCACCAAAAAAATTTTTTTCAAACAAATAATTAATTAATTAAACAGAATTTCCTATGGCTGTCATCTCTTTACACTTAGCCAGGAATTCGTGTTTTCTGACTAAGGGTCCCTTTAGGCTCTTTTGTTCTCCTTGTTTTGGCAGTGTATTTACAGCTAAACTTAGATGTAAAATTATTAGGCTCTATGTCTGTGTGGCATCCATATCCTACTCCTCTTCCAAACTTAACTACTTGGATTGAGGGCATTCATAACCTTGGTTTTATGTTCAACTTCACATATTCTTTCATTTAGCAAGTCCAGTCATTTGCCATATCTCTTCATTTTCACTTCAGTCGATAAGCTAATTAAGCTACTTACCTGTAAGCCTTTAAGTAGCTAGGTGGCCTGGACTCAGAAACACCCAAGATTCAGATTTGGCCACAGATACTTAACTAGCTGGGCTGTACCTGGGCAAGTCATTTAACCTTTGTTTGCCTCAGTTTCCTCAAGTATAAAGTAGGGATAACAGCACTTCTCATTTGATCGTGAAGATCAAATGAGATGTTTGTAAAATGCTTAACTAGCACAGTGCCTAGCACTGAGTATATCCTGTATAAATGCTTATTCCCATCCTTCTTCCCCCCCCCCTCCACCGCCCATTGTGTTTCAGGCACTGTGTTAAGCAGTGGGACACAAAAAGAAGCAAAAGGCAGTCCCTGCCCTCAAGGAGCTCATAATCTAAGACATTAGATTTGTTTAAACAAGCTGTATATAGGATGAATAAGAAATAATTGAAAGAGAGAAGGCACTAGGGAATTAAGAGTGATTGGGAAAGGCTTCCTGCTGAAGATGAGATTTTAGTTGGGATTTCAGTAAGCTGAGATGAAGAGAGAGAGCATTCTAAGCATTGGAGACAGGCAGAGAAAGTGCCTCAAATTGAGAGGTTTGGGGTGCCTTGGTTGTTGAACACAACAACAACAAAAGATGTGAGAAGATTGGAAAGGTGTTAAAGGGTAGGAGGGATTACTAAGTTATGAAAGGCTTTGAACACCAAACAGAATTTTGTAGTTGATTCTGGAAGTGATAGGGCATCTCTGGAATTTGAGTGAAGGGAGGGGGTAATATGATCAGACCCAAACTTTGGGAAAATCACTTTGGTGGCTGAATGGAGAATGGATTATTTTGGCAGATACTTGAGGCAGGCAGATCCGCCAGCAAGCTATTGCAAGAGTCCAAGCATGAAGTGATGAAGGCCTACAGCAGGGTGTTGCCAGTATCAGAGGAGAGAAAGTGGCATATTTGAGAGAAATTACAAAGAGGAAATCATTAGACATTGGCAACAGAATGGATTGGGGGCGGTGAGTGACATATGGAAGTCAAGAATAACATCTAAGTTGCAAACTTGAGGACTTGAAGGATGTGTAGCCCTCTGTAGTAACAGGGAAGTTAGGAGGAGAGGACAGTTTAGAGGGGAAATAATAAGTTCAGTTTTGGACATGTTGAACTTAAAATATCACCTGTACATCCAATTTGATATGTCTGAAAGGCACCTGAAAGTCAGCAGAGAGATTCGGACAGAATAGGTAGATTTGAGAGTCATCAGAATAGAGATGATAATGAAATCCTTAGGAGCTGATGGCCTTACAAAATGAAATAGTATAGAAGAAGAAGAGAAGAAGGCCCAAAAAAGAGACTTATGGGACACCTATGATAAGTGGCCATGACCTGGATAAAAATCTATCATACAAGACTGAGAAGGTGTAGGTTTGATAGGTAGGAGAACCAGGAGAAAGGGATATCCTGAAAACCTAGAGAGAAGAGAGTGTCAATGAGATCAACAGTGTCAAGAACTACAGAGAGGTTGAAGAGGATGAGGATTGAGAAAAGGTCATTGGATTTAGCAATTAGGACATCATTGGTAACTTTGGATAGAGAAGTTTTGGTGAAATGGTAAGGTCAGATGCTATATTGTAGGGACTTCAGAGAATGAGAGGAAAGGAAGTGGAAGCACCTATCGTAGACCACCTTTTCAAGAAATTGGGCCACAAAGGACAGAAGAGATATAGGAAGATAGTTGTCCAGAAGGGAAAGGATCAAATGAGGATTTTTTTGAGGATGGAGGAGACATGAACATGTTTGTAGTCAGCAAGGAAGGGGCTAGTAGACAAGGAGAGGTTAAAGATTCGTGATAGAGATGGAGGTGATAGAGAGGGCAGTCTCTTCTTGAGTTTGGATGATGACCTAGTGTTGTTTAGAATCTTGGATGCATAAAGTATGACCGGGTTGAGCAGAAGGCATTATTTCTTTTTTCCAGAGGAAGCTGGAGATCTGGTAGCACCTAACAGTAGGAGTTAGAAACCTTAGTGCCAAAAGAGAGGCCCCATTTCATTACTTCTCCCTCTGAAACCTGGAGTTTAGGCAGAAAAGGATGCAGCAACAGAAGGAAGTTCCACTCCCCATCAATTTCTCCATTCCTTAAGGGAGATCCACAGTAGCTCTTGCATCTGTCTTCTCTTTGTGCTGTTGGCCACCACCCAAGTTGAAGCTTTCTTCTTACCTCAACATTGAAATAATGAATTAATTGGTCTCAAACCTTTCCGCCCTCCATTCCTTCCTTCACACAGCTGCCAAAGTATTTTTACTCAAGTGCAGGGTTGACCATTTCACCCTCCTGTTTGGTAAATTCTAGGATCAAATATTAACCCCTCTGTTTAGCTTGTAAAAACCTTTCAAGTCCTAAGCTGAAACCTATGTTTCCAACCTTATATGTTATATTATATTATTCCTCCTCTCATGCTCTGTGGTCCAGCCAGACTGGCTTTCTGTCTGTCCCTCAAATAAGACATTCCATTTCCAGTCTTTCCCCTTGTACTTACTGTTCCCCATGACTAGAGTGTGTGTACCCTTTTCATCTCTGACTTGGAATTTTTTTATTTCCTTCCAAATTCATCTTAAGTACTATTTTCTGTAGAAAACTTTCCCTGATCCACTTCCTCCTCCCCCCTGCCACCAAATTACTTTATATTTTGTACATTTTTATATAATCATGTCATCTCCTCCAGTGAAATATAAGCTCCTTGAAGAACTGTTGTGTTTTTATCTTTTTTTGTCTTCAGCACCTGGGATAGCAACTGGCACATACTACCACTGAACCATAGTGGCCATCTAATCTATTCTGTTTACCAAAGTGACTCTCACTATAACATAGCTATCCAGTCTTTGCTTAAAAATCTTCAAATAGAGAGAATTTACTACCTCACCAAAGCATCCTGTACCACTTGGGATAGTTGTAATTGAGTGTTTTGCTTGAAATTGAGCCTGAATTGGATTCTTTGCACCTTGTACTCATTGCTCTTGCTTAAACCCTCTGGAGCCAAATAGTACAAGTCTGATCCCTCCTCCACGTAACAACCCTTCAGATACGTGATGAGAGTTATGATGCTTCCCCCTTTCCCTAAGCTCTTCTCCAGGCTAGTCCCAGTTCTTTCATTTGATCTTCATATGACGTATGAACTCAAGTCACTTCATCATCCTTGTGACCCTTCTGGACGCTCTCCAGTTTATCAAGTCTTTAAATCATGTCACTCAGTTATAAACACAAACCTCCAGATGAAGTCTGACAAGAAAAGGGCAGATTATAATGAGACCTTCACATTCCCATTCCTAAAGGTGTTATACACCTCTTTTAACAGAGTCCTTTTTCACAACAACCACCATCTATCCATGCCTCCCCCATCTTATACTCGGGGAGTTGATTTTTTTGTTCCCCAGTGCACGGCTTTACATTTATCCCTATTAAATATTATCTTAGTGGATTCATCCAGATGCTCTAACCTGTCATGATTCTTTGAGATCCTGATTCTGCTACCTACTGAGTAAGCTATTCCTCCTATTTTGGTGTTATCTGCAAATTTGGTGAACATAACATGTACACCTTTATCCAGGGCATTGATAAAAATGTTAGACATCACAGAACCAAGCTGTCCTATCTCTGAAATATTCCACTGGAGACCTTACGTCATATTGACATTGAACATTAACAGCTTTTCTTTGAGTCTGGCTATCTAACCAGTTCTGAATTTGTATCATTGTCTTTATTGTCTGTTCTCACTATCCTCCACTAGAATTGTATGAGACACATTATCCAAAGCTTTAGTAAAGTGTAGTATAAACTACATCCATATCATTCTGCTCATCTACACTAGTGTTTAGTAATTATGTCAGAAAAGGAAGTCAGTTTAGTTTGCCATGTTGTTTCCAAGTGTCTGCTATTTCAGATCATTCTGTTATAAATATTTTGGACTGATAGGTCTTTTCTTCATTGAATAACTTTCTTGGCAAAGAAAGATTTTTAATGACTGTATATTCTAGGTCCATTGATTTTTGTTTATGCAAAAGTACAAGTATAAGATTCTTTTAAATAATAGACTATATTATAAATTAATTTGCATTGCTTCTTGTCTTATTTTCTATCCTACATCTGATTACAAATTCTTCCTTATCCATAGTCATATACAATAAATATAACCTTCCATCCCCCTTTATCTTCTTTGAGATATAACTTTTTATATTTATTGTGCATTTGGAAATTATAGCATGTATAGTATGAAATACTGTCTAAATCCATCCAGTTTTCTCAAGCTCTGTTTGAATAAAGAATTCTTTCCCTAATAGTTTGCTTAGGTTTATCAAACACACACTAGACTCCTGAATAAACATGCTTCTTTTCTAATCTATTTCACTGATCTACTTTTCTTTCTATTAACCAAAGCCAGATAGTTTTAATAATTACTTCTTTTACAATATAAATTTATTGTAGTCCCATCATTTTCCTCTAATATTCTTGACCCCTTATGTCACCCTTTGAATTTTGTTGTTGTTTTATGTAATTCTGCACAGTCATCCCTTTGGTAATTTAATAATAGTAATATTTATACAGCACTGACTATGTGCTCTGGCACGTATGGCTCTGTGTGAAGCACTTTACAATTATTTTCTCACTTTATCCTTACAACTCTGGCAGGTAGATGCTGTTGTTTTTTTTTTTTTTACAGGTGAGACCACTGCCATTGCCAGTTTTGTTTGGTGATTGTGATGTGCTACTTGACTTATTTAAAATTTCATTTCTTCGATTCCTAAGGAGGTTGAACTTTTTTTCCGCAGTTGATAAGTTGCAAGTTCTGTGTCCTCTTTGATAAATTGTCTGTTTTCCTTTTATTAGGTAGCCATTGGTAGCTAGATGTTGAACTTGAGCAGTTGTCAGTTCCTTGTGAATTTCATGGAATCATAGGATCATAGATTAGAGCTGGAAGGGATGTTATAAATCATGATAAATGTACACAAATATTGTAATTCTGAATTTATGCACAATCTGTTTTCTAGCCAAACTAGCTTACAAGATTCTCCTTGTACATGGCATTCTGTCTCCAGGCTCTACCTGCAGACAAGTTTCCTCCTTTGCCTGAAATGATCTGCTCACTTCCAAATCCTGCTCACCTCTATCTACCTAGGTCCTTTCAAAGCATAGCTTCAAGAGACCTATATTGGTTCCTTTCATTGTTAGCCTCGCCAAAAAAAGTACTATTCATTTTGCATGTATCCTTTATTTATCTGTAAACATCTTGTATCCAACCAGTAGAATGTAAAGTCCTAGAGGATAGAGCCTTGTATTTGTGCCACCACCCTCACTATATTGCCAGACACACAGTAGACCCTTAACACATGCTTCCTTGCTTTTGATTAAAATAGCATAAATACAAAGAAAATTCAATAAGAAATTTGAGCAGGGTGGAGTGATGGAGTTAGCTTTGCGGAAGAGATGGCATTTTGATGAGGGCCTTGGTGGTTGCTTAGGATTTTAACTGGGAAATGTAGGCGGAAAGATGTGGAGTTGAATTCCAGGTATAGGGGATGATGTAAGCAAATGTGCAGAAGTAAGAAGAATGGAATGAGTTCAGTAACAGTAAATGTAAACAGTGCACTTTAGCAGAATCCCAGAGTTTATGGGGAAGAAAAGGTAGATTGGAACAAATTTGGGAAGGAGTTTGCTCTTTAATCCCTTAGACAATGGGGAACCATTGAACATTCTTAAGCAGGGGGTTGTTACGATCATTGAAAACTGATCTGGTAGGAATTATAGGATGGATAATAGAGGAGAGAATGGCTGTCAGTACACCATTTAGAAAATTGTTTAATTACTTCTTGGAGTTGTGATGCTGACTTCAGAAGACCTGGGTTCAAATCCTAGCTCCAGTACTTATCGACTTTGTTGCTTTTGCCTCATTGGACCTTAGTTTCCACATCTTTAAAATGGAAATAATAGCATAGATACTACCAGTCTCACACTGTTGCCTTAAAGATAAAATGAAATAGTGTAGATAAAGTTCCTTGTAAATTCTGTGCTATAAAAATGGAATGAATTATTATTCTCCATTGTATGACATTCCCTTGCAGTTCTTACATTGTAGCCTGTTCTCAGAAAAAAATTTTCTAAATGAGTATCTTCTTGAATTCAACACCAATAGATCCCTAAATGAATATTTAGTTTTTCATATTCTTTACAGGAAGTATTTAATCTCTTAAAGTTTTTATATGTGTGTATATATATGTACATATATATGCATATGTGTGTATACATATGTACGTATATATGCATATATATGTACATATATGCAAAATACATTATGGTATCTATTTTAATATTGATTTTAAAAAACCTTTAAAATATCACCTTCTACTTTAGAGCAAGTGATGATTTAGGCTGTGTAAGTATTATGAATTGTGACTTTTGTGTTTCCAATTACATCAATTGGTGGGCTATTTTTTAAAAATATTTATAAAAGTGTTGTTATTTTATTTGTATTTTCACTTAGAATGAAGAATTTATTCCAAATATAGGAAAATACATGGCCTAGTCTATATCTCTTATTATTGAAAGCTCTGATTTTGTTAATTTTTTTCTTTTTCCTAGCCTCTGGTTGTTGTGCCTCACAGAATTCATTCAACAAGTAGAAATGTGAGAGAAGAAAAGACACGCTCTGAGATAAACTGTAAGCATACATAACATTATTAATATTATAACCACAGAAAAAAATTTCAAGTAATGAGATTTAGACTTGTCTTTATTTTTCTCCAAATTTATTTGCTATGAATTTGAAAGGAAAAAAAATACTACTTTAATATAATTTTTCCCACTAGCATTCAGCATTTTTCAAAATACTGATATTTAAGTTCATTTAATTTATTTCAACAAATATTAAGTAGTAATTATAATCAAGACATCCAGGATACAAAGGTAAAGTCATTGATAGTTATTGCACTCAAGGAGTTTGCATTCTAATCGACTTAAGCAAAAATTTTAAAATGTATTGCTTTGTTACAGCCTTCCTGGGAGTATGTTTTGTTTTGCTTTGTTTTTGGCAGGGGGATTAAGGAGTAAAAAATCGTTTTTACTAGAGTATGTGATAGCATCTACCACTAATATCTATCCATATCACTACTTGAAATCATCCCTTGACAGGGATAGCTTTCAGCTACAGCCATAGTGGTAGTAATTGTTGTTGTTGTACTTTTTATTTGCATAGACTTCCCTCCCCCCTGCCTCTGTGTCTAATCTATTCCCAAGGTCTGTTTCCTTTTGTAACATCTCTCAAATATACCTTTTTTTCTCTGACACCAAGGTGAAACTCCCATCACCTCAGACCTGCACTATTGCAATAGCCCACTAGGGGATCTATCTGCCTCAAGTCTCTCTCTGCACCAATCTCTTTTCCACTCAAAAGTGGCATTCCTAAAGCTCAGATCTGACCGTGTCACCTCTCTCCTCAGGAAAGTGCAGTGACTCTCTATCACTCCCAGGATCAGATATAAAATCCTCTGGTGTTCAAAGCACTTCATCATTTGATTCCCCTCTACCTTTCCAGTCTTCTTAAACTTACACCCCCATTTGCCCTGCGACCCAGTGATGCCAGCTACCTCTTCACTGTTCCTTGCACAAGGCATTCTATCTTTTAACTTCGGGCATTTTCTCTGACTGTCCTCATGTCTGAAATTTTCTCCTGCCTCATTTCTGCTTCCTGGCTTCGCAGCTAAATCTCACCTTCTACAGGAAGTCTTTCCAGGTCCCTTAGAGTGCTAGCACCATCTCCTTGTTGATTATTTGCTATTTATCTAGCATAGAGTTTCTTTGTACAGAGTTGTTTGCATGTTGTCTCTGTCATTATCTCAAATAAAATAATATTTGTGTGAAGTGTTTAGCACAGGGTAGGCACTTAAAAATTGCTTATTCCTGCTGTTCCCCTATTCCCACCCCTAATTAGTCTGAGCTGCTTGAGAGCAGGGATTGTCTTTTGCCTTTGTATCCCCAAAATTTAATCTAGCACATAGTAGGTGTTTCATAAATGTTGATTGACTAGCTGAACTATTAACTTTTCAAAGCATTTCCTCATTCCATTTAGTTCTAATAATCCTATGACTATTATTGTCCCTATTTGTTAGAAAACTGAGACATGAAAAGATTTAGAGATTTCCTGATAAATTAGAGACAGAATTGAATTTTAAAAACAAATATCCTTGTTTCTCAACCTGTACTTTTTAAAAAATTTATTTATCATTAGTTTTCAATATTCACTTCCATAACATTTTGAGTTCTAAATTTTCCCCTCTCCTTCACCTTCCCTGTCCCCAAGACTGCATGTAATCTGATACAGTCTCCACAAATACATTCATATTAAACATTTTCACATTAGTCATGTTGTAAAGAAGAATTAGAACCAATAGGAGGAGCCACAAGAAAGAAGAAACAAAACCAAAAAAAGAGAGCAAATAGTAATCCTTCAATCTGCATTCAGACTCCATAGTTCTTTTTCTGGATATGGATAGCATTTTCCATCACGAATCTTTTGGAGTTGTCTTAGATCCTCGCTTTACTGAGAAGAGCTAAGTCTGTCAAAGTTAGTCATTGTACAATTCAACCTGTACTTTTTTTTTTTGGCTAGGCAGCAGGGTTAAGTGACTTGCCCAGGGCCACATAGCTACTTCTGAGGCTGGATTTGAACTCAGGTCCTCCAGAGTCCAGGGCCAGTGCTGTATCTGCTGCGCCATCTAGCTGCCCCTCAACCTGTATTCTTAACAGTAGAGCTTGCCATACAGGTAGCACTGAGCTGGAAATCACAGGACCTGAATATAAATACTGATTCTGCCACTTAACCTGTGTTGCCTTAAGACCAGTCATTTCACCTTCGTGGGCCTCAACTTTCTCCTCAGTACAATGAGGGATTTAGATCAGATGACTTGAGATCCCTTCAAGTGCTGGATCTGTGGAGCTACCAAGGTAGGAAGGCAGCTTGGTGTCCAAAAGAGTTGTTTAGAGCCCTGAGGGGTTATGGGACCAAGTTCACATTGCCTTTTCAGATCTAACATAGTTCACAGGAGCCCAACACTTAGCACAGCCCTTGGCACATAGTAGTTGTTCAGTAAGTGTTGATTGGTCATAGATTTTGGGCTAGTCTAATCCTTTTAAAAGATGTTGTAGTTATGCCCTTGGTAGAAAACATATTTTTTCCTGGGTCATTGTTTCCTTGCTATACTTTAAATTTTGTGCTTTTTGCTGAAGAGCATTAAGTTAGTATTGCATATATATATACATATATATATATATATACATATATATATATATATAAAACAGATAGTCTTAATGTCCTAATCTATTATCACATCATGGAGTTCTTAAAATCTATTCCAGGAGAATTTAAGATCCAGCAGGCTTTACCATGCTAGAAGGATGACTCACAAATTCTCCTTGGAGAGACAAGGAAAGGAGATGGCAGAATAGGTTTTGTTGTCCAGAAGCAACAAGAACCATTATTTCATGAGATATTTGGTCATTGTGCATTGCAATATGAATGATAAGCATTTGCAAAGAGATCACCGTGAAAATGATTGCAGCCTATACAACATTAGCTACTTAGGATAAAGTGGTAGAGAAATTCTTTGAAATACTTGATAAGAAGCTGAAAATCAAATTACACTATCATTCTTGTTGACTTAAGTGTAGAACTGAGAAAAAGTCATCTCCCTTTCATTCAAGATGTAATGAAAACAACTCTAGTCAATTGCTCTCTGAAAATAAACATTAGGTGAAGCACGGGACAGGGAAATTCATGCCTGCCAAAAGTATTCCATTCTGCACTGGGAGCTATCAGCACAGGACCCAGGTCAAAGAGGGATTTCTTCTAGTTGATGAGTTCCTCTAGGATGCTGGAGATTTCTGGTGGGATTGTATTGATTACATCAAGTCCCAGAATATTGCAAATTCTTTGTTCAAAGGAGTTTGTCTTCAGTCTGCCTTTAGATGGAAATTCTGCAGTGCTTGTCGAGCAATATGTATAAATTTCTTGAGAAAGGAAAAGAGAGGATGCTGAATGATGGTGGCCAGACAGCATAGGTCAGCAATAAGTTAAGCTCATAGTAGTTGAATAGTAAGAAAGGAGTGGGCTTAATTGCTTTTATGAAATTGCAAAGCTCTTTGATCTGATCTCAGGCATATGACAAAAGCAAAGGCCTATCTTTTCAGTACTAATAGTTTGCTGGCATTGCTATATGGTATTGAGACATGGAACACCATTACCTCCAAAAAACTATAAAGAAGTGATCCTGGGTTCTATGAACTTATCTTTTTAATGTTTTGATAACTATTTCAGTAAAATTGATTTCACTTGTAATCCTAAGTATTTTCTTTCATGCATTTATAAGCATTCTGAGAAAGGGTCCCTAACTTTCACCAAATTGCCAAAGGGATTTATGAAACAAAATTGGTTAAGAACCTTTGCTGTAGAAGATGGGGTTCTACAGGTGCTGTTGCTTGTTGGCAACATTGTGCTGCTGATTGCTTCAAACCTTGAAACAATGCAGAGCTGCCTAGTGGGATACATTGTCACTCAAAAGAGTTCAGCCTAACCAGTCGTCCAGGAAAACCCAAAGGAATGAAAATTGCCTCTTGTCCAGACTATAATATAGAGTTAGACCAAAAGCTCATAGATAACTTCTCTGGGTATGGTGAGCTGGAACTAGCTTTGAACCAGAAGCATAGAGTGGGCTGGGTGGCCTTTGAAAAATTCAACAATGCTTTTATGATCCCTTCTTCTTAGACCTCTTGCTCTGACAGTGCTTCCATCCTCTTTCACTCATAGAATGCTGGCTGTCCTCAGAAAATACAGCATTTCTGCCTATCTTCTCAAATGTCGTATGCACCTTTGTGACCTTTATACTTTGGATTAAGACATTCACCTTGGCCACCATCATTAAGCGTCCTCTCTTTTCCTTTCTCAAGAAATTTAGCAACTGACTCACAGTCTTTTTTGCTCCAACTGCTGCCTTTTTGCTTGGACCCATCAACATGCACATTGAAGTTCTCTTGAGCATCCTGGACTCTTAGTTCATTAACCTCCTACATTATCATATCCTGCCTTCAGTTACACAGTTACACTTGATTTCACCATTATCCACAAGCACTCCATGATCTTGAATTGATATTCCAATGTCTGACCATGACCTACCAATCACCTATCTCTCCCCATGCCTTATTCCTACCCTGTTATTTTTCCTCACCCCAGCTTCTAGTCACTTTACCCTTTCATCCCATCCTAATCTATCATTCCTACTCCTGCCTTACTTTTCCTCCTTTCACAATCTTAACAACCTTAACAAATTCAGCTCTACACTATCCTATTGTTCCCTTGTCCTACTAATGGTTTTATCTTGCCAAATCTGTGTTGCCATCATCCTCTGTCTCCCTGCCTTATGCCTCCATACAGCTCTTTGAGTATTGTATGTACCATACAGGTACTCAGTACAGCTAGAGGAAGTCACACAACTATGATAGCGCCATCTACTAAAAATTTATGTTAATCTGATCCGAAATGAACCCAGAAATCCTTTCATTCTTCCCTACTTAACTGTCACTCTGCACATAGCAGCCATTCCATACCTTTTCTTTTCTCAAGCCTCCTGTACCACCTTCTACCTCTTCTCAACAGAGGACCTTACCACC